TGGTACTTCCCCGGTCGAGCCGGCCCATTCATGCTGCAATATCATATGGTATTACAGCGTGGCTCTACCACCTGTAAATATAAATTTAAATTATCTTTATTCAAATAGACTTGTTTACAAGTGCTTCTAAATTCGAACAGATATGACATCGTAACCTTCAAGAAAAGAGCAAATTTCTTTTAAAAAGGCCGGCAGCACACCTGCAATGCCTCTGGTGTTGTAGGTGCTCATAGGCGGCGGTAGTCACTTACTGTCAGGTGAGCTGCATGCTCATTTGCCCCTGTGTTATAAAAAAAAGTATTTTTTTACACTACTTTGGTGACAAACAAGCATATGACCCATCTAATGTATACGTTTTTATAATAAACTTCCAGATGAGGTTTTACATTTAAGTGAAAGAAAATTTAAGATGTATATCTTAAATTTTTATATATGTAAAAATGACTCTCTATACAAAAGCATATTATAAAATAAATTACTATCGAAATGACAAAAATGCATGGATTTGAATATAGTATTAATGTGAATTGTATTATAATTGTAAGTAAGAGAGTTTGTTACAGATGTATACGAATAAAAATGATTGATTAATTGATTGATGGTAAACTAAGATACCGTAGACTACGGACGCCTATGACGCCAGGGATGTCACTCGCGCGTTGCTGACACTTGAAAAACCTTAATACGCTCTTTTTAAAGAAATCCATACTGTAGTTTGTACGGAAAGCTTCGGCAAAAAGATTATTCCATAACCTGAGTATTCGCGGGAGGAGGTTCCTCTGAAATCGCATTGTGCATGACCATTCTGGTTCTAAGGAGGATGGATTCCCTGCCGAAGGCGAGCGGTGCGATGGTGAAATAAGGCTGTAGGTATCATATCAAAAAGTTCTTCAAGTAGGTCTCAGCATGTAAACCTTTGCATTATTTCGTGTTTATGAGGGTAACTTTGTAAACGCTAATGGCGTTGTTTATTTTTTGTAGCCACTACTGGTTCATTGTTACTTTGTAGTGCTAATCCAAGTAATTTATGATTAACAAGTTTTATAGCTGAGATATTAAAGATATAAAATTATAGAAATTTTTACCTCTCTCTTTCTATCTCTTATTATTTAAGTTACGATACAACCTATCTTTGTACCATATTTCTTTCTAATCCTTTCAACGATGTAAGCGTGACTGAGTATCAAATATCGCCGTGTGGTCCCGACATAGATAGAATAGGCTACTCCTTCCTTTCCCGTGGGTATCGTAAAAGACGACTAAGGGAACTTACTGGTTGAGAGATGGGCAGTAGCGTCTCTCTTAAAACATTACCGAAAGCCTAATTGCCAACTCGCCTGCCAAGCGTAATAACTACGGGCAAAAATCCCCTTATGGGGAAGGCTTATGTTTTTTTAATGGATGACAATGGAATGATAACCCCGCCTGCGCTATCGGTTAGACTGGCAGGGCACCAGTGTGGGATGATCGGTGACGATGAAAAGGCAGGTCAGTTAGCCCATCGTGACGAATTCAACGATAAATTAATAACGATGGTTTCCAGGGGGAACCGCGTGTAGGTCGACCTGATAGGTTATATTGTTATCAATGGGGACTAACCTCCCCATTGATAACGATCCCTTTCCCCCTTGGAAGGCTTATGTTCAGCAGTGGACAGTTAACGATGCAAGGATATCATCCTTAGTACTTAGTACCTAAACATATAAAGTATATACAGACTTGCTAATTTACAATGTTAATAGGATTGTTGTTTATAAATACTTAGGTATTACTAGATATTTCTGTAAACACTCTTATGTATGATTTAGTAGCAAACAAATACATATAATATTCGTTGAATATGTTACATTGAAGCGACTTAATGATGGCTCCAATATGAAATATTAATAACCTGTAGTGCTTACTAGAAATAGGTGTAATATAATGTTACAATAATTACCTATATTTTCAATGTCAAAGTTAATTTGTTTGTTTATTATTAACGACTCAACTAGAAGGTTTTTATGGATGGTATTGAAATGTATTGGAATTGTAAGTGTGTGTAGTCCCGATATAAAATAGGCCACCCCTTCTTTTTCTGTGGGTGTCGTAAGAGATGACTAAAGCATTTTAATGGTAGAACGATGGGCAGCAACGTCTCTCTTTATCTCTAAAATCTAACTGCGGTTGTCAATACACCTGCCAAGCGTGGCAACTAATAGCAAAACTCCTCTTATGTGGAAGGTGTACGTTCAGCAATGGACAGTTAACGGCTGAAATGAAATGGAATGGTAACCCCGCCTGTGCCGGTATACACTAGCGGAGCATCAGTAAGGGATGATGAGTGAGGATGAAGCTAGCTAGTTGGCGCATCGTGACGAATTCAAGAACCATGATGGTTTCCACGGGATTGTGAACCTGATAGGGTATTATATTACTAGTACTTTTTATGTATTATTTATTGTAATACATATATATTTTCAGGGTTTTTCTTATATTTTGTGTAATTAATAAAATATAAGTTTATACTAATAATTTTAAGTATTTTTATTGCAATGTATACAAATCGTGTGATTGCCTATTTTTATTTTTAAATATCAAATTTAATTCACATGAAAAGGTTTGCTGGAAGAAATGTCTTATTAGAAATAATCTCGCTTTTGTACATTACGTTTAAAATTAAATATTTTTATCATTATATTTTTGTACAATAAAAACTAATTTTTCCAACTATGTTCAAAAGTCCACCTTATACGAATCACAAAGGAATTCGCTTCGCATAACCTGTCGAGTTGAATAGGCCTCCCTCACAGAGTGTATAATATTAACAGACTAGTATACTTACATTGGCGGGTTATACAAATCAAACCCTATTATGATTCGTATAAAATGCATTTTTTAAACCCCATACTTGTCATAAATTTAGCGCACATGTACTTTTTTAATGGATGTTAATGGAAGGTTAATCCCATCAGCGCTACGGGTATACGTTGAAGAGGCATCAATAAAGGATGGCAAGTGAAGAGAAAAGTAAGCCATCTGACTATCGGTCTATCGTAAGATATTAATTAAAAATTCACCACAATAATTGCAAGAGGTGACAGTGTGGTGGTCAACCTGACAGGGTATATTAATAAAAACCTAGCCGCTAGTCAGTACTATCTCTTCCCCTAATACACAAATAGTATTTAGGATTGAGAAAGACGTAGGCTGCTTTTTGTCCCGTTCAATCAATAGGTAAATCCCGATTACGAAGACGAAGTCGAGACTAAAAACTAGTGGATTAATAATGTAAGTGTAACGTTAAAACTGTAATAATTAACAGTTTTATCAGAAATGAAAATAGAAAGAGCTTTTGTCCAATCGTAAGGCAGAATCCGTATCACCACAAGAAAGTGAAACTTCTGATAACCAGGTTTTCAATACCATGTTTACACTTATATAATTTTTTATATATATTATTATATTATTACAAAAGTATGTCAAACATTTGTTTATTTTTAAACAAAAGAAAATTTATTTTACTAAAAGTGAAAGGTAATAAAAAAAAAGTAATAAATTTTATTGCAATAGTTTATATTCTTTGTTACATAATGTTACAAATAAAATTTATTACACCGACAATATTTAATCACTCAGAGTTTTGTTTTCTAAATAGGCTAAATAAAAAAAAAAGAATGTATAAAATTATTTTTGCGGTAAGGTTGATGTTTAAATTGTGCACGTTCTTGCAAAGTCGTTAAGCCCGGAGCTATTTTTTCGGATTTAATAAATTAATATTGTCACCTAAAAATATATATTTTTGTTATAAAAATTAATGAAAAGGATCCTTAATAATATTATTTTAAATAATTCGTTTATCTAAAAAAAATCTGTTGTCCTTGTTTCATTAATATTTTATTATGGTTATGCCAATGTTTCTGGCTGACAGAAGAGTAAATCTTGTCTATTGGAAAAATAAAAGAATAAGAAAGAAAAAATGATAAGCTGTATTGACAACCAATTGTATTTATGAAACAAAATAAAAAAGAACAATAATAATATAATAGAAGTAATGTTTATTTAAATAGACTTGTTTACAAGCTCTTTGAAATTGTTATTTTTTTTTGTAATTTTACTGCTGGACTCTGAATATTATTATCTGCTGAGAAGAACTCGCAAGAAGCTCAACACTTTGCAAATGCAAAATAATTTTACATTTGTTTAGGTATTGTGACTAATTAGCAATAAGGTTTATGCATATATGTATAAAATAATATAATAAATATTAAAATATAAATAGTGTGTATTAAAAAAATAACATAATCACACGCCCAAAAAAATTAAATTAATCTCATTCATTTTGAAGTTTAACCGACACAAAAAAGACTAATAAATAATTTATGTGTTTCTCCTATGAAATTCCACTATCCTGTATCCATTTATTTATGAAGCTCCATCCTTAAATGTAACTCTTGATCCAATATCACATTTCGTTCATATTACATGAACACAAGTTCGTTCGGGCTCTTTGCCCGATTATCGCAAAACTATGTTTTTATTGGAATTATATTTTGGAGTTTTTTTAGCCATTTTTTCTCCTTTATTCGGTCCGTTGATAAAACAATCTTGCGTGTATCTTTTTTTTTAATTATAATAAAATATAGAAAATTGTTGCTTAAATAAACTACGAATAGCTGTGTAATTGTCGATGATCTATAAAAATATTTTTTTTTTATTTTTATAAATTTAACAAATATATATTATTATTTCAAATAAATTATTTACTTTTCTTAATATATTTCATTATTTTAAAATTATTATTATTAAAAATGTATTCATATAAAGAGTTCTTTTTACACACCAATAAATTAAATAATTATAATATACTTTATTTATTTTAAATAAATTCTCCAGTGCATAATTAATTTTAATAGTATACCAAAACATTTGTTACTAATAACTTAAAACTTAAGTCAAACTATTTTTATAAAACTGTCACAAACAAAGTGTAAAAGCGTCATATTACAAAAATATCTTACCCAACAAATCCAATAAACTTCCCACCGAAAACAATACGCTCACACTGAAAGTCCTTATCACATACAGTTCATTCAAGTACCGAAACGTCAAGTTCGTAGTAAATTCACTACTACTCGTCCATACTCTACGACGCTACGGAATCTACTGAGTTTAGGGTTCAATTCAAAATATCTTTGGCGCTCGTCTACTGAGCTTGAAACATGCGCAACATAACACCGTTGAAAACGTATTAGTTACAATACATTACCGCATCAAAAGTTTAACAAAAACAGAACGGTAATGAAATGGAGAAATGAAAACGTAAAGTTATTTTACCATTGACAAATTGTTTGCGAAATACGTGTAAGATCATTCCGTTTAGCGATACGATATTTTTTTTTTATTAAGCATAACAAATCCCTTTCGCTAAACCGTGTCCATCATCATCATTTCACAATCCCCTTAATTCTTCGATATAGAATGAAGTTAATTTATGTATATGTGTATCTGAATAAGCTGTTGAAAGGAAACAAAATCTTTATTATTCCACGCTGACAATGTGATTATAGGTTTATCCTATCTCAGTATAATCACACATATACATACCATATATGATTGATTTGATAAATAACACTGTTGTTATAATAATTTTAAACATTTTATTGTACTTGTAAATGATTTACGCTTGTGCTTTTTCTGTAAAAAAATCCTACTTAGTCTATATTTCAATAAAACAATAAAAAGGTAACCGAGTTTTGTGGAAATTATCACAGAAACACTCTCTAAATGAAATTAGGAACAAATGGAAGCATTCAAGCAATTAATTGACTCTTGATTTGTACTACAATTGGACATTAAGACTGTCTTTTGGTCGGGTTTATCATTTGTTTATTTAAATTTTAATTATTTTCTGTTGAAAATTATGAACGTACACATACATTTACACATACACACGCATGCACGCACGCACGCATGCACGCACGCACGCACGCACGCACGCACGCACGCACACACGCACGCACGCAGCCTTTCACGCACGCACGCACGCACGCACACACACACACACACACACACACACACACACACAAACACACACACACACACACATACGCGCTAAGATAAATAAGAAATTTCCGAATTGGTTTATAAATGATGGAGTTCTAAGCTAATAAACAAAAGAAAAAGACAATCGAATTGAGCACTTCCCTCTTTTTCGAAGTCTATTAAAAGCACAGATGAGTTAAAAATCTAAACTTTTTCTAAACTACTTAAAAATTCTAATAACGTAGTAAAACAATTTAGTACTCGTATTACAAAACGGAAGTAACTATTACAGTTAAATGCCAGCTAAATAAGACATAACTTTGTAGTCAAACAGTAACTATAATGTCGAGTAGCGATTAGTTGGAAATTAATTTCGAGCTATACATTTTCACAGAATACCTAATAAGCTTATTATTCAATCAACCAATATGAACATGTGTATGAATTCCCCGCAAATAAATACAGGTTTGTACCTTTGGTTAGTTTACTAATAAGGTATCTGCTTCTTTTAATTAAACGATTAGTTGTATGCATATTATATAATTTATGCTATAATTGTGATGCAATAATATATATTGAGTATATATTGAGACAATTGTATTGCAGGGAGTCAGTGGATGCAGGTGGTTCAGGACCGTTCTTTATGGCAGTCTATGGGGGAGGCTTATGTCCAGCAGTGAACGGATAATGGCTGAAATGGTGATGATGGTTAAGACATTATCATCATATCAGCCTTTAACTGTTCACTGCTGAACATTAGCTTCCCCCTTTGGGGGTTTTGCCATGCTTGGCAGGCGAATTGGCAACCGCAATCAGGCTATAGAAATGTTATAAGAGGGACGCTGCTGCCCATGTCTCGCCCTCCTTTAGTCGGCTCTGACGACACCTACGATATAGCGACAAATGAGGAAGATAAGCAAGCTGAAGTGACAATGGGCTAATCACATAGATCAAAGAAAAAAAGTGGGGGAAAAAAGTCCCCATCGGTTGTCGGTTCTTTGAGCTGCATCGCATTATTTTTTCACTATATGTTATGTTTTATATGTACCTATACACGCCAATAGATATTTTCTTCTTTCGGGATCTCAAGGTTGACTGAAAAAAATCTCTTCAAGGGATAAATACCCCTGAGTACACTGTAATTTTCTTTATAATCTGATATCTATATTAAAAGTGAATGTACAAACAAACAAACATGATTTTTTAATGGACGGCAATTGCAAATCTGCCTGTGTGCATCATTAGTGCAGCACCAGTGAAGGATAATGGGTGAGGATGAAAAGACAGGTCAGTTAGTCCATCGTGATGAATACACCTAGCATTCAACACAATGGTTTCCATGGGGAACCACGTGGAGGCCAATATGGTTAGGTGTATTGCAAGCAATGGGGCCTTTAATCTCCATTTACTAACAATCCCTTCCCCCAACAAACTTGATTATTAGCTTTTAAAAACGAGCCAATGTCAGTCAGTTCCATTTAGTGACAAAATAAATCGAAGGGAATGTGCCATTATACGAGGGTGGAACCGGGTCGCTTGTTAATTTAAGTAAAAAACCAACCAATAGTGTGTTGAGCAAACATTAATGGGGTTCCGTAGGTGTTTAAGTTTTTACTTGTCCGCTCGTGTCACCGTAGTGAGATTATAGTTTTCAGTTGTTTCAAGCATTACACAAGTTGAAACATTTTGACCTAGTACCTGATCTGGACAAATCCTTTTTCCAAAATTTTTTTAATGATAATAATGGAATGGTAACATCGTATTCTGTAAGCCAAAGTTCTTCTCTAGTGACATGTCCGGTTCTAGAGTAAAGGCATACGAGTATACAACCCCAATCCAATACATTTTCTGACCAGATTACCCTCTGCAACTGCAGTATTCTCTTTCCCCTTTTTCTCACAAATCCTTCATCCCTTTTTCCACCAATTTTTTTTACTCACTCCCAAAATCTTCCTTCTTTTTCCTCAATCCTTTCCTCCATACCATAAGTAGCGGATATGATCAAAGATGCATTTCTAAGGAGGGTTGATATGCAGATGAGCGGTCGTAAAACTCAAAGCCAATACCTTGGGTTATATGAATAAAAATGGGACATATTACGTCGATTTCAAAATTTATAAAATTGGGGTCAGGAATATGATGTTGAACGAAATGGTAACTCCGCCTGTTCCATCGGTTTACGCTGGCGACGTACCAGTAACAGATGTTAGCTGAGAATAAAGTCAGGTCAGTTGATCCATTGGGACAAATTCATCAGGACTTATTTACAATGGTTTCCAGGGTGCCATGTGGAAGTAATTTAATCCTTTCATTTGAATTATGTTAATTCTCTTAGTATACTTATATTTGGTATAATTTTATGAATTTCAAGAGAATAAGGTACGATATCCGCGGCATAGTGGTGGGCATGTTGCTTTATACAAATGAGGTCCTGGGTTCGATCCCCAGTCAAATCAATGTAAAAAACAAAATTTTCTGGGTTTACTCTGATTGTTCTGGGTTGTGCCACCAGATATCTTAGCTTAAAGATTGTATGTAATTGATTATTATAACATAATTATTCGTATTACTGTTTCCACGTTCGCCATTTAGTTTAGGGACCCCAAAAAAATCGGCACACAAAAGGCACGAAATGCATCTTTTTCATCCCCAAATCCAGAGTTATTAACATTGGGTCGCCTTTTAATCCCCTAAATACGGTCATTTTGAAAGTCGAAGCAAATGGGGGCAACTGTTTAATTATGTTTATTCTAATTTAATTCCCGACACTGCGTATTCCGAGGAGTGGCTGCTAACCACAGACGTGACAATAAATAGATGTCGCAGTTGCATAAAGGGGCTCAGGTATATTTCTATTAACAAGTGGACCTGTTTCTTTTTTGCAGCAACTATTGACTGATAGGCCAATAATATCGGCGGTTTCAAAATTAGACTTATCAGAGAAATGTTCTCTAAATACAATTAGTTCTCTAAAAACAAATAATTGAATTTACTGGGTACAGAGTCTGGGGGATATCATGGGCGAAACAGTATACTCCGTTATGTCCACGGTACTGCTCATGTCTATAGGAGACGGTTACCACTTTCCATCAGGTGGGCCGTCAGCTTGTTTGCCATTCTAAGTTGTATAAAGAAAAAATAAACATGGCAGGGATCGAGCCTACTGCTGTCAATCGATCGAATTTAATTTTTTAACGGTACTCGTATTTTCTCTAAGCGAAGATTTAGTGCAAAATTTTTAATTGATGCAAAAACATAAAAACAACAAACTTAAAAAACTTAACAAACTTTTTAAACTCATGACTTTTGAAGTCAGTCAGTCAGACTTCAGTAACACCAGAAGTAGGATTGTTTCCTTTTATTATTATATTTTATTATTTGATATGTATTGTTTTTTTTTTTTGTATGTATTTATATGTGTTGTTATTTGTGTACTATAAGTAATGCAAATATATTTATCTTTTTGGTGTAACTTGAAAATGTATGTAAATTACTGATACATTCAGTGTTCAAGAAAAAATACCGCCACCCATTCTTGACGCAGTCTCAATACATTCAACATCGTTTCTGAATACGCAAAAAGTTGTATGTATAAATTTTACATGATACGCTCCACCGCCATGACGGTTCTTGTATTTTTATAAGCACATCTGCAAGCTACGATGCGAGTACACGACACGCCTAGAAAATAAAAAAAAAACTTGCTTCGCAACGTCGTACCAACGTGCCGGAGTTTTTAATTTTTTGAAACAAAATATAACTAAGTGAGATATTTTTTAACGTCCGTGTTATGTGTCTACATCAAGAAATAGAGGAATTGTTTGCTGGATTGTAATTTTTAAAACTAGCACCGTTGGGGATTATGCTTGCGTTTTATAAATAAGCGGGAGCAGATTATTTGAGTCAAAAAGTGATTAGAATTGATACTAAATATTATCAATGATTAATAAATGATGATAATGAATAAATGATGATTGTCGTGTGGTCCCGGCATAGAATAGGCCATCTCTTCCTTTCCCGTGGGTGTCGTAAAAGCCGACTAAGGGAGGGCGAGGGATGGGCAGCAGCGTCCCTCTTAAAACATCTTCCCCCTTTGGGGGATTG